ACTACTGACCAGACACCATCCAAAATCAAATTTATTTAAATTCTCATTTCTATTAAGAGTTAAAAGATTCAATTTTTGAGGACAAATGCCTGAAATTGAGAATACCCATTTCGGAAATAACCTCAAAAGGCATAGAATTGGAAACAACAATTGAAAATTTTTAACAACAATAAGGCAAATTTATCAACAGGTAAACACCTTCCAGGTTAGCAACAATGAGCCTCAAATGAAGAACCACCAGGATCAGCAGCACTGTCAGTGAAATCGAAGTCTCTCTCTGAAACCCCCTCATCATGACCTATACATACAGAGCTATGTGCGTCTATATATACACACACAGCTACTACAACCGCTACTACAAAACAAGCAAATGCCTCTCTTAGATCCAGTGAAAAGCACACTCATTTACCCAAAACCCCAAATAAAACCCCATACTCCACAAGGCCATCCGATCTCATCACCAGAACAAAGATTAAAAATTTAATTTTTCCCCTTTTTTTCTGCCAGCCCTTTCGAGCTCTCTTCAAGCTAGGAGCTTCTTCTTCTTCTTCTTCTTCGGAAGCTTCCCCCTTCCTCTCAATGCAAGATTTTACTCCCTTTCCCAAGAACTGCTGCCCGTCGTCTCACTGTGGTTTCTCTCTCCTCAGTTGCCTGCCCGGACGGAGAGGGTCAGGGGCGAGAAAGTTGTTTTTTGGTGATGTGTTGGGCACTTGCACTTGTTTGTGTTGCTTTTTTTTTCAGGCGTGTGCGGTGTGTGCAGCAGCTTCTTTAAGAGCTGCCCGAACGGGGGTGCTCTGCCCGTACTGCCCGAAATCCTATACCTAAAACGGCTTCGAGGTTTCTTGAATCTTGACTGCTGTCGTTTTTTTTCGAAATAAAAAAAAACGTTGTCACCATTCATAGGCATACAATAGACGTTGGGTCCTCCCAATAGTCCAAAGGATTCCTATGCTAATATGGATCTACTGAAGTACTCCGCACATGTTCCGTCTTCCCAAGTCCCAATCAATTAGAGACCTTCCAATTCTTAAAGTAAATTTACTAACACTCTCTTCCCTGTCACTTTTATATCGTACATCCCGTTGTATAATTTATTTCGTACAATTAGATATTCTTTGTATGTCTGACTTCGATCATAAAGAATAGAAGTTGAAAATCTAGTTGTGATGAAGAGAATATAGCAACAACGACCTAGTTCAAGGTGATGGCTTCGACGATACTCCCTGGGTAATATCCATTAATTTGAGCTTTTGTGTTTGAAATCCTAACCGCAATGAAGAATTTGTGAAGCGATGAACAAGGAGTTGCATCGTGATCAGTCATTCCTTTCAAAGCCATGGCTAACACTGCAATGACACAACAACGGTCGGATTCTTACGGCATTACGCAGCATCGTCCTTTTGGTAGCTAGTGAGAGGATGACTTTGATGAATTTGAACTTTTGTACGCATGTATGAAAATTGTACTCGTAAATGTATAGTTTGTAGGATTGTAATGAACATTATGTAGTTTTCAAATCTGTATACATATAATTTATCAACCACTTGTTTTGGATAAATACAAAAATAAACGCGTGAAAATAAGTATTGTGTTACTCTTAAATCAATATTCGCAAAATCTGCAGAAACACTGCATTTCGATGTAGAGTATAAGCAAATTTCATCTTGATCTCCCTCGAAAAAAAAGTTTCATCTTGATCCTTATTTTTTCATAAAATGCTTCCTAATTTAGTCCTCACACTTTAATTTATCATATACGAAGTAGTTTAAACTTTTTCTTCTTTCTTTACCTACATCCACTAATCCACAACAACAATAACAATTCAGTTGAATTCCATGAGAGAAGGTTTGGAGAGGCAGTGTGTACGTACACCTTGCCCTACTCGAAAGTAAAGAGATTATTTTCCAGAGACCACGGTTCAAGTTGCACAAGAAGAGCCTCAAAATATCTCTTCTTGTTTCCTAAATATTATTTTTTTATTTCGCACCACTATTTAAATAAGTTATATTAAAAACAGTTTCAGTTCTACATTGTAATGAGACAAATAATTTGTGACGAAGGACGTATTCAATTTTATTATTTATATGATCAATTTTAAGTTACATCTTGTTTGGCTTCATTACTCATTTGATAGATAAAATATTCATTTCATCCGAGTGAGTTCGTTCGGTTTGAGTTTTTCAAATCATACTAACCAAACTTTATTCATCAATTACGATCAATTTTTATTATACATTAATGCGATAAAATAAAATTTCAAGAGATTTAAACAAACTAATTAGATCTAATGAAATAATTTTTACATTAATATATATTCTAGTTTTTATTTAATCAAATTTCACCGTCATCGAATTTGATTCGCAAAAATCAAACCGGAAAGATACACAAAAACCAGGGTTACAGTTGGGCTCGAGAGTCATTCAATTCTTATAAGCCAAGAGAAATACAATATTTTTTATATGGGATTCCTGGAGACCATAGGTTACAGTTGGGCTTAGCCTGGCCCAATACCATGTTAAATACAAATGTTGATTACTCGTAGTAATTAAGAGGAAGCGTCATTTGTCTGAGGATTTCCGGGATTGCCTAATCCTGGCCTTCTGGGTACTCTTGTCCCCTGCAGTATCCATCCCATGCATTATTATTATATTGTTACAAAAAAAAAAGCTATAAAATGAAAAATTCATAAAAATATTTCTAAAGATCTCCGAGTTTACGTTAATATTTTAGAGAAAGACCAAAGTAGGACTAAAACATTGAAAATATACCAAAATAAGACTTCCATATTATTGTATTCTCGAAATAGGACTTACATTACCATAAATGATCATATACATTATCATAGAAGTATAGTAATTTGCACATGTGCACTGTCACATTACAACAGAACAGTCACATTATCATTAAACAAAGTCTTATTTTGGGGAAAAAAACATGAAAGTCATATTTTGTTACTTTTCTCTATGTTTTAGTCCTATTTAGGGTAATTTATATTAATATTTCGAAAAACTAATGCTGGGTAATTATTATCATCGTTCCTTGAAATAACTCACTTTTAATCATTACTCCAGGCTGCCAACAAGCAGTATCCGTTTCATTTTAAATTATGTCTGCTCAATTTTAATTTTATGAGTGAGTTGACAACAAAAAATAAAGAAAATATATTGTGATTGCGTTTGAAAATACAGTGGGCATTTATAAACTAAAATGTGTTAATTGAAAATTATTTTTTTCTCGGAATATATTTATTTTTAATTCAAATCCTTTTTTAAATAATGCTTCAGATAAAAAAAATTATAATTCATTTTTCATAAGATGTAATGTTGAGTTTATCTCTTTAGCTTTTACACTTTAACGGACTAAAATACTATACAAATACATGTCAAAATTCCGATTTTACCACATTTCAATTTTCCAATTGTGAAACGAGTAGTACATTACGTCTAGTTATAATGCATTCAAGATTTTTTTTATATTCTGTTAGTTGTCAATTCATACTTAATAATTTCTAAATCAACATAAAAATGCCACATAGCTCAATTGGTAATTTGGAGTAATGGTAAAATTAAATAATTTCTGGGAGCATTAGCACCTAATATTGATTCTTTCGAGTAATGTAAAATCACAGATTTTTTGGAGTATAAATGTGAATTTTTTTCACCATAAAAATCTACAATTAGTGACATTACATATTTCTCTTTTTCAAAAAAATCATCTTTCAATTAAAATCATTATTTACGTCGATTAAATATTAATTTATCCAAGTACCTGTCACGCATATATACAATATTACTTCTTTGCAAAAAAGGATAATGGGAAAGTGAAATCTAAATTACACTTATTTTAAATACCATGAAGGTTAATTATGGAAAAGTTTTTTTGAACGAAAGGAATGAAGAATAATGAAACCTGTGAGTAGTCCGGAAATCAAATTTTGATTCCAAAGTTAAAATCAACTTGTGGGGTGCAATTGACGGGGGCAGGGGTGTGTTCAGGGCGGGGCGGGGTGGGGGTTTACCGGGGGGTCATGGAGGGTAGGAACCGTCAATTTTATGAACGGGGCACCGGAGCACCCTGGGGTCATCCCATGACACTGCCGAACAATGTCATGGGAACCTTGGTGTAATTTTATAAACAAAATGTCAGGGCACACCAAAAGTGTACCCCAAATGCACACCACATATTTTGGCATGTAAAATAAAAAATAAATAAATAAAAATGGATGATAATGGAGGTGGTAGTGTACATTTAGGGTACATTTTTTGTCTACCCCTAACATCCCCGTTTAAATTGTGGAAAATGCTAGGGGTACACCTTTCGTGTACCCCAAATATCCTACCCCCTCCATAACCACAAAAAATTGCAAGTAAATAAAAACTAAATAAAAATAAATGGTAAAGAGACATATGGTGTACATTTGGGATAAACTTCTGGTGTGCTGCTAGGATCTCCCTTAAATTGTGTAGGGGTCAAAAGTGAATTCTTAAAATTGGAGGGATGGGCCATGGGAATTAGAAGTGAGTAAGTAGATAGTGAAATCATTAAATTAGAGAAAAGGAGTTGCGCAATGAATGGTACCCGGAGTGAAAGGGGTCGGGCTCGGGGCGGGTCGTCATCCGTTGGTGGTGTCGGATCATCTGTGGGAGAAGAAGAAGAAGAACACTTCCGATCTACGCCGTCCTTTTCATCTCCATCCGAACCCGAATTCGAATTCGAAGACGCGGCGGGGATCTGATCATCAACGCCGCCAAAGCACCTGAGCGCCGCCGCCCTAATAATCTGTTGCAGCCAATTGCACGGATGATGATGATGATGATGATTCAGAGTGTCTTTCTTTTCTTCTTCTTCTTCTTCTTCTTCTTCTTCTACATTGTTATAATTATTAATATTATCTCCATTCTCCATTTTCTTCGTTCTGAATTGTGTCTTTCTCCTGGCTGCTGCTCTAACTCAGAATGTTAAATGTACATGACAATATATTACTCCCTCCGTCCCGGAATATTCGTCCAGTTTTGACTTTTGGAACTGTTCATCTAAACACTTTGACTCATCAAATTCTCTGTAAGCCTAAATATAGTCATGTGTGATCTTGTTTGATTTTTCTTAACATATAGATTATTAATATATCATTTCTATAATTTTTTAATATACAAATTACAAAATAAAATGGATTAAAGAGGTGTATTGGATGGTGTGTAAAAATGAAAGTGGACAAATACTCTGAGACGGAGGTAGTATTATAACTCATCAATTAATGCTCATCTGTTCGGTTGGTAAATGTGGTCCGTGGAGTAAATAATGATACAATCACTAATTTGGGTTATAAATACAAACTCTATCTCTCTTTTCAATTTTTTTACTCAAAAATAGTACTCACTACTAGACCTGGTAAAACGGTCGGTCAGGTTGGGTTCGGGTTCGGTATAATCGGATTTGGATTATTTCAGGTTCGGGTCATTTCGGGTTCGGGTCTAAAAGTGCTTGTTCATGACCCAGAGTTATCAGGTTCGGGTTGACCCAACGGGTTAAGAGGCGTATTTAAAAATTAAAAATTTTGCTATTTAGAGATCATGTGATCCGAGCATTATTCAAAACAAAGAACAAATCATAAAAGTTTGCAGTTCTATTTGCAACATACCAAAAGAGAATTACAACATACCCAAAAAATCACCTTTTTGCAACATACCGAAAAAATTGCACTAGATGAAAAAATTGAAGATTCTTTCAACATACCCAAAAATATATATACGTTATAAAAAATTGAAATTCTTGCATCATACCAAAACAAAATAAAAGAATTAAAAATTGAGTTGCATATAGGAGCAACTGAAGAGGATGAAATAGGATTAAAAATTCTACTATTGTTCTGGTGTCTTCTCACCATTTTGATTGAGTCGGCATCTAATATCAACGAACTGTGGAAGAGTGGGAGAACTATATATATATATATATATATATATATATATATATATATATATATTACGCCAAACTGGAATGTTACTAGGTTTTACGCCTTTTGAGTTTTGAGTAGTTTAATGGTGATATCATATTTTAAATGAATATATAAAACTAAATAACTAATAAAAATAAACAATTAAGTGCATAACCCGTTGGGTCAAACCCGACCCAACCCGTTCTGACCCGAAAATTTAACGGGTCTTCGGGGTCGGGTCGTTTCAACTTCGAGTCGCAAAATCAATGTTCAAAACCCGCTAATTTCGGGTCGGGTTTCGGATTAGTAACGGGTTGGGTCAAATTTTGGCAGGTCTACTCACTACATACAATAGTACTCCTTCCCCCGAAAATGATCTCCCCATTTGACTCCCAGTAAAAAAAATACTTCCTCGGACAGAGGGAGTTGATACTTTCTCAGTCGAAGAAGAATGTTACAATCACTATTTTGTACTCTCGAAAAATTTTGTTTGTGATATAAATTTAATATTAATATATTTCTATTGATACGTAGTTTGAAATATCAAATTATTATAAAATATATCTATGTATAAATATAGATATTAATGGCCAGAGTGCAATATTGGAGATCGTGAAAAGTCAAATGGAAAGAATATTTTCGAACAGAGGGAGTAGATACTTTCTCAGTCGAAGAAGAATGTTACAATCATTATTTTGTACTCTCGAAAAATTTTGTTTGTTTATTCGTTTTGGTTGACTATTTGATAAAATAAAATATTTTTGTCGCGTCTTGTTCTTTAAGACTTTTGATGTACTTTTGAATGGTACTCCCTCTGTCCCATTTTAAATTGCATGTTTGCCTTTTTTCTCCGTTCCAAAATAAGTTGTCTGTTAGTTGTTTCCGTAAACTTTTAAAAATAAAATAACTAAATTACCTCTAAAATAAATCACTCTTTTTCACCTTATCTTCTCATTCATCATCACCCTTCTTAAAAAGTAATGTCAATTTTGAAAGATCAACTCTATTTTTTATTTTCCTTAAATATGCCCAAAAGTCAAAACGGACAATTTAAATTGGGACGGAGGGAGTATAAATTTTATTTTTTATTTTCTACCTATTTTTAAATAAAATAATTTTGAAAAGATGATATTTTGCGTTCCCTTCGAAATGTTACAAACAATTTGGGACGGAGGAAGTAAAAACTAAAAACTATCACACTTTTACTAAGGGGCTCATTTCTACGACCTTACTCTTAGGGTCTGTTTGGTACATGAAATTGACAGAATTGAAATTGAATTGAAAGATAAAATTCTATAGAATTGATTTGAATGAAACTGAATTTTCCAATTTGAATTCATTTTTTACACTACCAATTCTAAATTCACATATTTGTATGCTATCAAACAACAGAATTAGAATTGTTATCGCTAATTTCAATTTCATAGCTTGAATTCTATATTTCAGACAAAGCCTTAGACTACGTCTAGATGATAAAAATTGAAGAGAAAGAAAAGTTTGATTGAGAAAACACACTTATTTGCTTAAAGAGAATATTTTTTTCTAAACACTACATCCTTTCCAAAAAAGATGCCACAGTTAATAATTAATATTTCGATCACTCGATAATTTTTATTTGTTTACTTATTTTGGTTGATCATTTGATAAAATAAAATAATCTTGTCGCATCTTGTTTTGTAAACTTTTGATATACTTTTCAACGATGAAATTTTTACTTTTTAAATCTCTACCAATTTCTAAATAAAATAATTTTAGAAGAGATGATATTTTGCACATTTAAATTACATGTTTACTATTCACAATACAAGATCAAATTTCATTTAATTTCTTTCTCTATTTTCATTAGTCATTTGATAAAATAAAATAGCCATGTCACTACTAGTTTTGCACGGTATATCTTTTGATGTAGTATTTTGATATGCAATTTTTATTTTTTTTAATTCTACACTATTTTTTATATAAAATAATTTGAAAATAATTAAATAAAACATACTAACCACAACATTTGATAAAAATTGACAGAGTATTTCACTTTTCACACCATCACATCATCCACAATATATTTTCTATCCATTCTTTATTTTTTTACCCATACTGCCATGAAAAATGTATGTTAAATGCTGAGATGATGTGCAAATTAGAATTCAAAATAGTGTACCCAAAGTGTTGATTTTGTTTTCTGAATAAGCCATATTGTTATTGCTTGGGTGAGATAACAAAAAATAAAATAAAATAAAATAAAAAAGCCCAGTTTTTTTCCCAACGGGTCAGCATATCATGATATATACTCCGTATATACCTGCAGCTCTGCGAGAACACATGACAACATGCAGAAAGAGGTGAAGGTATTTAGTGCTTGGCAGTTTCTCTTCTGTGATATACTTTCATGGTCAAATAGGGCCACTATCCTGGTTTATAAAATAGGCATCAATATCTTCTGTTGTCAAAACTTATCTTTAAAGTTCTATCGATTTCAAAACGTTGTACTTGTGTCCCCTATGTTCATTTTCCGGCTATTGTTCTAGCGAAGAGGGGGCATTGATACATATTTTCTAAATCATAGGAGATAGTAGTGCTGTTTTTTTTATCGCTTACCTTTTGTTTTTTTCCATTTTTTTCCTTTATTTGTTTCATTTATAATGCATCTGTATGTTTCAAATTAACAATTTTTGTTTTTCTGAAAGAAAAGTAAACTTTTTTTTGAGAACTTCAAAAAATGAGGAATAAAATAAGAAATAAAATAATACGTACAAAAATAGAAATGAATATCCTTTTTGGACATCTCAATTCTAAGGACTTTTTTAGGTGTCTCCGAAAATTGTTATTTGTATGGGACTCTTTTTTGCGTATTTTAATTTTTTCATTTCGTTTTTCCATTTTTTTATTTTTTATTTTGGGTTTTCTTTTTGAACTTTCCAAAAAAAAAAAAAAGTAACAAAAAGTGAAAAGGTTTAAATTGAGATAGATGTATTGTATGTCAATTTTCTTATTTTTGTTTTTATTTCAAACACAAAGAACTTTAAAATTTTTAAAACATTATAAAAAATTGAAAAGAAAATTATTTAAAAAATTCTAATAATAGAAAAGAGAGATAGAAAATATTTAAAAAAATTAAAAAACACAAATAATAAACGAAAAATAAGAAATGAGCACAAGTTCTACCTATGATTTAGAAATTATGCGCCAATGCTCCCTCTTCGCCGAAAAATAGCCGAAAAATGATCAGAGGCGATGTGGATGCAACATTTTCAAATCACAAGGACTTTAGTAATAAATTTTGAAAAGAGAGAGTTATTGTTGCCAATTTACAAAACCACATGGGGCACCGGAGCTATTTGGCCATACTTTCATCCTCTCTTATTATTTATTGTTAGAGTGTCATCCCACATCGAAAGTTCAAGAGCAAAATAATCGGTATATAAGCTCTTGAGTTGAATTAACTGATCGATTGGATTCAATCTTTTAATGTGGTTCAACTCAAGTGTCATATTGTCCAATCCAGTTATCCATACACATCCCAAATTCTATTATTTATCTTCTCAATTCTATTTGACAGAATCTTTAATGAAGTATTCTCAATTAGATATGAATTATATAGATGAAAAAGAATTGATATGAATGAGATGGACTACTACACGTATTCTTTAATTTGACACCATAAACTCTACCCTTGATATTGCTTGTTACGGATTACTTGGACCGCGTTCATCCATCTCATAAAGTTTTCAAAAACAAAAAAAAAGTGTGGCCTAATAATAAATAATTTTGAAGTTATAATTCATTTATACAAGACATCATATTCTACCTTATTATAAATAATACGGAAAAATTAAAAAATAATATCAAAATTACTTTTATTCATTTTTGAGAAACTTTATGGGACAAAAGAAGTACAAAATTTGGTACCATAATTTGACACCATATACCCATAGACATGCACAATTATATTATAAAAATGTATGAAAAATTTGGTACCATAATATGACACCACGTATATACCCTACACATATGTTCAAACAATTATTATTAAAATACGGAGTATATGATGTCAAACTGCTAAAAAAATTCTGGTCGAACATTATAGAGAGAAGATTAAAAATAAAAGCGGGTAGTAGGAGTAAATGGAGTTGGTATCTCGAAATAATGGAAGTAGTGAAAATGGGACTCCACTATACATTTATTATTATTCAAAATAAATTTGTACATTTCAAATCAAGTGCTTTTTACATTGATTGGGAAGTTCCCACATTTTTAGTATGTTTGATTGAAGAAAAAATGGAGAGAAAAAGATTGGAGGAAAATAAAACACACAAAACTCAAAACATTGCTTGAGTATTTTCTTTTTTTGGGTGAGGGAAAAAGATAAGATTTTTGATAAATATTTTCTCTGTTTGAAAAAACTCTTTTATATTTTTTTCTCTTCTACCAAAATACTTCCACTTTCTATTAAAAAATCACTTTTGCCCCTACTTTTTCTTATCCTACGTATCACACCATGTTTTTCCTCTAATAATTTATCCATCACATCTTACCTTTATCTATCACTTTTGCCCCCTTTTTTTTTACCCTACAATTTAACACTTCCTTAATTTGGCCTTTGGGCAAAATGGGAAGGGTTTTCCCAAAATGGGAATGGTCAACTCGAAAAAAACTCAACCACTCCGTAAATATATTTACAAAAGACGAATATAAAGCACATGATATTTTAAATAGAGAAATTTGAATGTAACGATTGTGGTAAGGTAATGGTCCGGTGGTCGGTTTTCATCTTC